GAGATATTGGATATTTAACTATATTCCCAAATGCTGAGAAAGGAAACTTACTGCAAATAGTATTAAAGATTTTTACAACTCTGTTGCACATAAATTGATCAGAAACCTGTATGGTGACAGGTAACTAATGAATTCTGAATTAACAGTTGTGATATTTTACAAACATGAAGGTAGATACAAAAATGATAAAACAGCTATCTTTAATCATGCTGAGCACATCCTCATGACTTCCCCAAATTTTCATTAATTAATCTTAGAAAATTAACATATACCTAGGCAATTTGGTGATCAAGCTTGTCCTTTGTTTGGAAGCTTTCTTCATTAAAGTGGAAGTCTTCAAAACATTGAATTCATTCGCCTTTAGGAGCCTATAAAGATCTTCCCAAACTCTATCCAGGCCTGAATTATTTTCTTGTCCCAGAGTAGGAGTGGACTTTTCTTGCATTAGATGTAAGATGCTATTGACAGAATGCAAGCAGTAGGCCAAGATGGAGAGAAGAGACTTCAGAACCTAGCCCCAAGCTCTGTAAAGGCAAGCCAGCCCAGTCCTCCAATTGCATCAGCCAAGTATTCTGTACCACCTTCAGTTTTGGAACCAACTCCAATGGCAGTAAAGTCATATGTTACCACAAATAATTGGGTATACAGCCCTAGAAACTCCAGAGGAAATGGACTCTTAATTCCCCCACTGACAGTTTACTTACTAGCATCCACACTGTCTAGCAAATTGAACTCCCCCCACCCCCCCAGCCTTTTCAGCAATGTACCAATTATTACCGGCAACAGCAATTTCAGGAAGGCAAGAGGGTTATCTCAATTGCCAGGGCTAGAAGCTATAATGAGCACCATATGCTGGTGGGATTCCTGCCTAATTTGGCAGCTCAGCTGGCAACAAGCAGAAAAGAGCAAGCATATTGAGGCAGCACCTCATTCCAACAAGCACAAGAACATTTGGAGGGAGGAAAAGCTTCAATGCCATTTTACAGACTGAGTTGTTTTAAGAATTGAACATTAAGGAAATTTACAAGGCTACATCAGCTTGCAAGGCCTAAAAGGAGGAAGGTAACCCTGAACAGCAGCCAATTGTTGGGGATACTGTGTGCCACCATTAACCCAGGCACAAATGCCTTTTACACATCTGACACCTGATGTAACAGAATAATAAAACAACCAATTATGCCATCTTGATGAAACAATTTGTTATAAAGGTATCCTCTGGTTACAATAGTAATTTGAGTGGAATTACCAATAATGACAGTCAATAAGCATGATATATGAATGCATTACTTAGTGACAGCAATCTCCATTGCTGCTGTAACCTGAGGACTGTAAGGGTGATTAAGTGGAAAGAGTTGAGTACCAAGTAAGGATTATGAGGGGATGGAAAGATGCTGTGGGTGGGAAACAGGATGGATAGCAAGTGGGTGCTGGGAAATTGGGGGAGTGTGGCACTATGGAGATCCCTGAACAAGCAGTCATATGTTGAAGATTACCTGTATAAACAATATTACACACGTTTCTAAAGATAATATTTAAGGAGCTTTCTAACCCAGCCTTTTTTTGTGTACAAAAGCCAAGACTACTTTGGATATGTTTTGTGCATCTGTCTGAATTATGTTTCATTACTTTTTGGGGCTTCCCACTAATTGTGTTATAAACCAGATGCTCGTTAAGCAGACATAACATATCAAAAGTGTTTTAAATTAAAACAGATTTATATGCTATGGCTCTTAGTTTAATCAAACTACCAAAATTAATTATCAACTAACACAATTGTAATGGTTTTCAAATAAACCACAGGTACATTAAAAAATCTGGATTTGTGATTTAACATTTTCATCTTCATTAAAAAAACAAAAATGAAATAACAATTGGCTCACCAACCAAAACTTCAAATACTTTGGTTTTCTACAATTACATAATTGTTAAAACTTTTCTAACATACCCTTTGAGAGAAGGAGTACTATAGAACATGTTTGCAAGGTGTATTTTGCACATGAAGGTTTTAAAGAAGCCAAACTGAGAAAGCAAGGCCAACCTCCTGAACTTTTTGGTCTATACAGCTGTCCCTCTTTCCAAATTCTGTTTAATTTCTGCAGTGTATTTCCCGTAGAACCTCTCAGCCTTCTTATTGAACTTGGCATTCCGCTCATTAATGTAGTCAATATCTGCATCGTCATTGTAAGAACGTCTCCGGCTGTATTTTTCACGTTTTTGAATTCTGAAAGAGAAACCGAAATAGTCAGCCTATGTTCGTATATATATCTTGAATTCATATTTTAATGAGGTACTGGGTGTTTTTCATTTGAAGACAGTAATATAATTTTTTCCCCTTGTATATTCAGCTAATGGAGTCAAGGGGAATAAAAAAACTCCATTAATCCACTCCAAAGCAAATCAATCTCTGGGTTCTATAGTTAATATAATTACTTAGAATCATTTAAAAGGGGCAAAGCCTTGTCTGATAATTATATTATTTGGAAAATAAATAGGAAAGAAAATGAGATTGACTCTAAGTACAAAGTGCTTAAATAATGCAATCTGAAATAAAACTTCAGCAGGAGGTCTATGATAAACACATATACAAGATGCTTAATAAATTTAAACATGCAGTTCATTATGAATATGGCACTCACTGTTTTTCAAGATCTGAAACCATTTTGTCAACGCCTTCTTTGGAGGGCACATGAGTTCCATGGAGTAAACTATTTGAAGTTGGAAAAAAATCTTCACCACTGAAGGAGAAAATGAATGTTAACAGTAACATTTTTGTGAAATTTCTCTAGCTCAGAAATTTGGGACAAAAAAATATTAATCTAACCCATTACAGTAGTGCTGATTAAGAGTCTGTACTCTAATTCCATATCGGTAATCTTTTCAACTTTTCTCATTCTCTTTAACCAAAATTGAACCAAGTAGATGGAACTTTACCCCTCTACTTTAATGCCAGCTGTGCAAAATTATTTAGAGGTAGTCCTTGACTTAGGACTGGTCATTTAGTGTCTGTTCAAAATTATAATGTAGCCTGAAAAAGCTTATACCCAGATTTATCAACCTCACATGCACACGTCACATTTTGGGCCACCAGCCGCATTTATGGACGTTTGCAGTGTCTTCTTGTCATGGGGCCATGATATATATTTTTGCCAGAAACCACTATTTCTAATTTGCAGCAAAAAACATCTTATAACAAACAATGGGTTTGCTTAATGACTGCGGCATTCGAAATGCAATGTGCACAATCACATGGTAGCCTGGTTTATAACCATCATGACTTATGATCAAAATTGCAGGCTCAATTACCTTCCTAAGTCATGGAGTACCTGTGTTCTAATTCATATGCCTTTGGAAATGATCTCATTTGTAAATATTCGTTCTAGATCCTTCTACCACATCATCATCATCATCAACAACCTGTGAACAAAATTACTTGCCTTTCTTCTCTTAATTGTTCATACTTTTCCAGATCAGGTTTAATTTGCTTGGTCAACCGCTGATACTGACGTAATTGAGCAGCTGCATAGTCTATGGAGCAAAGAAATTAGCTTAATGAACAATAAACTTTTACTAAATAGGGCAACCTTATCTCAGCAATATTGTTATTCCCCCACCACCACAATGATAAATAAGTTTGTGTAACCTCTTTCTTAGGAATAAGATGAAGAATATTTAAAAGATGAAATCATGGCAACTGGACCAAGTTTATTAAACAGATATTTTGTTACTCATCCAAGTAAGTTCTTCAGTCAAAATGATTTTTTTTTTTTGTTTAGGTTAGGCACAGAGTCAGAAAATCCTTGGAATGTACTAACTCTGCCAGACTGACTGCAGCGGGATTTCTCCTCAAAATGAAATTCAATTTGTAAATAATGCTCTTCATTTGCATACTGCATTTCATTTTGAGAAGAAACTCCTTGCAGTCTGGCAGAGTTAGTACATTCCAACTTTCTGACACTATACCTAACCAAAAAATTTTCATTTTGATTAAAGAAGTTACTTGGATGAGTAACGAAATCTCTCAGCTTAATAAACTTTGGTCCAGTTGCCATGATTTAACCTCTTTAGATACTTTTGGCCTGCATGATTGAGTCTTCATTTACATACAGAAGAATAAATAATAAATAAAGATGCTTTGATGGACAAGTATCTCTGACAATCTTCCCACTTTGGCTGTGTAACCACAATCAATTCTGCAAATGTTTTATGATCCCCTTCCAATTTTTTTATGACCCACAGGGCCAAATACTATAGAACAGTGATGGCTAACCTTTTCGGCACTGAGTGCCCAAAGCGCACACACATGCATCCCCAAAATGCAATACACACGTGCTCCCCATGTGGCTCACTCCCCACACATCCATGGCAGAGATCCGAAGACCAGCTGGCAGGGGGGAGGTGTGCATGCACGGTGGAGCTGAGATGGGTGACGGCTCGCATGTCCAGAGAGGGCTCTGCGTGCCACCTCTGGCATGCTTGCCATAGGTTTGCCATCATGGCTATAGAAGAACCCGTTATGGGCCATGGCGTACAACATGTATTTGAAAACAGTAAGGATCATTCCCCCTACCTGAAAACCCAAGATCAGGATTTCTCTTCTTTCTTTTCCTTTCAAAGCGTTCTGCATCTTCTGCACTTACTTCTAGCAGCTTTACTCTCTCATAATCTTCCCCTTTCAGCAGGCATTCCTAGTATATAGTAAACTCATTTTAATAATTTAAAACACAGATCCTCAAAACAATATTCCTCTATGAGCTAAAATTTATATTTTACACTTCCTTATAAAATTAGTCTTCATCTGAATTATACATGATCTGCTGTTGATTTCTCTTTCTGATAGGGCTATATCCATAATTCCAACCTCTTTTGACAGTGTTCTAGATTAGAACATCCTGACAAAAGGAATGAATTATGAAACCCCTTGTTTAAATCCTGCCTAATTCAAAGACTCACTGAGTGGACTGTTGCAAGCATATGGCACAAAAGAATAACAGTTTCCTTGAAATCACAAATGCATGCTAATGTTATATTAGAAATTCTAAAAAATATTATGCGAACTGTGGTTTTACTCATTTGGCGAAGGGTTATAAAATCTCATTTTTTGGAACAGAATTTTGGTCTTTCAGAAGCTACGTTTGGCCCTTCCACTTAAAACATAAAAATATCTTTGATAGAATTATTTCGAGAGTTATTAATGTATATCACATGTTTTGTCCACTAATGCAGGGCTATATTTGGATGCCAGTATTTTCCAGTAACGGTGCAAGTATTGTATCCAGGGGTGGGATGCAAATATTTTTACTACCAGTTCTGTGGGCGTGGCTAGAGGGGGGTGGCCATGTGACTGGGTGGGTGTGGCTTCTTTTTTTGCAACACACACACACACCATTTTTGGGGCTCCTGCGGCCTCAGGAAAGCCTCCTGGGTGAAACAGTAAGACAGAGAGGGGGATCCCGGCACACAGCTGATCGTCAGAACAGCTGATCATCAGGAGGGGGGAAAAAACCTTAAGGAGTGACTGGGCGGGGGAGAATGCAATCAGCGATGTTGGGCATGTGCGTGATGTGCAAGATAAGGGCTGACTGGACGGGGAGGGGAGGGCGGAGAGGGGCGGGGCCAGCCAGGGGCATGATTTGCTGGTTCTCCAAACTGCACAGAATCATAACAACCGGTTCTATAGAACCATCCTAACCAGCAGAATCCCACCCGATTGTATCTATCATTGCTCATTTCTAATATAACCCAGTGAAAAAACAGTAACCGTAGGGACTTCTTCTAA